CCTTAGGTGAAATGCCTGTTCATATCTTTTGCCCGTTTTTAAATTGGGTTATTTGTCTTTTTGTTGTTGAGGTTTTGCAGTATCTTGTAGATTTTAGAGATTAGACACTGATCGGATTTGTCATAGCCAAAATTTTTTTCCCAGTCTGTAGGTTGTCTGTTTACTCCTTTCGTGAAGTCTTTAGAAGAGCATAAGTGTTTGATTTTTAGGAGCTTCCAGTTATCCAGTTTCTCTTCTGGTGTTTGTGCATTGTTATTTATGGCTCACATTCTGTTTATGCCACGTATACACATATTCTTAAAGTAAGCAAGTGGGTCATTTATTGTAGCTGACTTTTTTATTTAACAGTATACCTTGGAGAGCATTCCATAACAATACATAAAGGTTTACCTCAATCTTTTAAAAATATGCATAGTATTCCATTAAATGGCTATACCATAATTTATTTTACTAGGCCCCTCAAAATGAATATTTAGTTTTATTTTTCCTGTTTTTAAAAATACTAGAAATAATACTGTAGTGAGCAATTTTGTACATATATCTTATGCACCATGTATTTCCGTGGGAAAAACTGAAGGAAGTGGAGTTGCTGAATTGAGGGATATGTGCATTTTAAATTTTGATAGGAGGAAGACCCTCAGTGAGATGGATTGACACAGTGGCTGCAACAATGGGCTCAAACATAACGATTGTGAGGATGACGCAGGACCGGGCAGTGTTTCATTCTGTTGTAGGTAGGGTTGCTATAGGTCAGAACCAACTCAACGGCACCTAACAACAACAACAACATTGCCAAATTACAAAAAGTTTGTATGACAGTGCTTGTTACCCTGAATGCTACTGTTTCAAAATTTTGAGGTTTCTTTCAACTACAAACACTTATTGAGTGCCTTCTGTGTGCTTTAGACACTTCACTAGGCTCATGGATTTGAAATACATTCACTGTAGCTGGAGGAAGATTTGTTGGTGAATTACTTATTCCTTGGAGACTAAGAGCTTTTACCCTTTTAGAAACTGCAAGCTGGTGAGGTATTTAGTTTCAATTTAGCTTAATGGAAGCCTGTTAGTGAGTTTTAAAATAAGGACCAAGACAACTGAAATGGTAAACGAAGTCTCCTGGGCCTCAAGAAAGAGGATGCAGCATCTGTGGGTTTGCATGCTTCGAATAGCCCCTCTTTCCAGGAATAATTGTGTTACAGCACTGAACTCTTTGGTGGAGATGTGAGCTGTTGAAGGCAGCTCTAGGGTGAGTGCTTCCTAGCAGGCGAAGAACCACACAGATACTTGCGTGGCTGAGGACAGAGCAGAGTCTATGAATGGGAATATGTTTCCAACTGCCATTTATTGGGCACAAACTCATAACCAGACACCATGGTTGGTGGTCTTGAGGGAAGGGAACAAGGTGCTTGGTTTACACCAGTGAAGTCAGGTGATTCAGGAAAGAAATCTATGAACATGGAGGAAGAGGGGATGCATTTTATGTGGTTCTATTGCTTGCCCAGGGTGGGCAGCCCCTTCTAATTCAGCCACTCTCACCTGCCTAAGGCTCTGGGGGCATATTTGACAACCAGGCACACAGGCTCAATCTTCCTGCTTACATGGCTCTTTTCTATGTAAGTTTAGAGAGAATTGTAAGTGGCTGAGTGTGGTTGTGCGAAGGAAAGAGAGGGAGATGATGTGGATACTTTGCTGGGAGCTTGAGCTTCACCTCATGATGGGGAGTCTATAAAGGCTTTAAATCAGAAGAGTGACATGACCAGATTTGTATGTTAGAAGGAGCACTTATAGATAGTAATTAAGAGTTTGGGTTCAAATCCTGGTTACTTTTGGGCCAGTTGCTTGATCTTGCTATGCCTCAGTTTTCTCACCTGTAAGATAGGAATAATGATAGCTCCTACCTCACAGAGGAGCTGTAAAAATTAAATGAGGTGATTTACATAAATAGCTTAGTAAATAACTGATCCAGAGTAAGTGCTCAATAACTGAAAATGGTAATATTACAATTATTAGAGTGGAGAGGAACTGGAGCCAGGAAGATCAAGTGTAGTTAGGCAAGAGATAGTAAGGGCCTGAATGAAGGGGGTTATAAATGGAAAGGATATCTATGAAAGATATTAAAGAGATAGAATTGTTAGACTGTAATACAATGTTCATGGGAAGGTGAAGAAAAGACAGGTATCTTTGATGACTCCCAGTTTCCAACCTGGGTGGCTAAATGGATGTAGGTGCACTTACAGGAGTGAAATGGGGAATATTGGAGCAAGTGGCAGTTTGGGGTGGAATAATGAACACAATGAGATTGGTTTTTAAGATATTAAGTTTGAGTATTCTGTCATCAATTTGAACATGGGATTCTGGGAAGTCTAAGCTATAGAAATAGATTTTAGCCTCTTCGTCATAAGGTGGAAGGTGAGGACAAGAGCCCTCACAGAGAATGCGTACAGTAAGAAGAGCAGAAGGTCAGGCATATATCCCTGGTGGGACACCAGCATTTAAGAGGTTGCTGGAGAAAAATGAGCCAGTAAAGGATATTGAGAAGGAGCCATTGGCGAGGTCAGTGACCTGGAAATGAAGGAGGGGAAGTTTCAAAGAGGGAGGGAGCACTCAGCAATGTCAGGTCTTGTAAGAGAACTGAGAAGTGACCACTAGGCAGCTGAGTTGTCACCAGTGACTTTTGTAAGATAGGTGAACACCATCCAAGGGCTAGGCTCTGTGTTAATGGTCCAAAGATGAATAAGACAGTTCTGCCCTCAGGATGCTCACACTGAAATCTGTAACAATGAGAATAGAAAAATGTTCTGTGAAGGAGTTCAAGCTGGAATATCTGCTATCCCATTGATCACCAGGGTTAAGTTGGCTGCGATGGTGGTCTGGGTGGGTTTCCTCTTCCTCCGTGACTCCTCAATAGGCATCCTTTCTTGGCCAAAGAGAATAACCTACCCGAGGGAAGAAGACCTTCTTTGGTCAAGAGTATAAGAATGGTGGGCCTCTCCAAGCTGCCTCCTAAGTGTACTAAGGTATTTTTTTTCATAGTATTGTTACCTTTTATAGACCAAAACCCAGAGACAACAGAGTGTCTATTTAAAGATGTATTTCATCCATAATATCACACCAGCCAATACTTGTGGTGGTGATAGGAAGGTAGAGGGGAGCCTTGCTCAAAATGAGGAAGGGAAGAGTAGAGAGAAGTAGGAGGAAAGTGGTAATATATCAGGAGGAGTTAGACAAAGGGCCAGCAGAGGTTAGTTGGACAGAGTTTTGTTAGGCAGAGATAGTGGGAGCAAGATGGCATTCTTGGCATTCTTGCAGAGGTGGGAAAGCACAGGCCAGGCTTAAGAACTGTGAGTAGCCTCACTGAGCTGCATTTCAAAGTCCTAGCATATGAGGGGTGGGATAGCAGGCTGGAACGGAGACTTGGGGTTAGATGGTGGAATTCTGAGAGCCAGGGAAGGGAGTTTGAGCTTTCTTCCATGGTTCGACGGCTTCTGGGAAGAACCATCAAAAGCTTTTCAGGAATTCAGGCTTGTCCGTCTCAGGCTTCTCTTTCTGGAAGACCAAGGGCCCGAAGTGGCAGCCTGACATTCAATCTCTTTTGCCATGGTTGGTAAGTCAGGGCTGTAGCTGATTTCATTGGCCTGTTTTGCATTTATTATAGTATGGCTTTTATAGTGTGTTAATTGAAATATTTCCAACTGCCAAAAGCAATTACACTCAAATTGCCTTGTCAGTTCTTTTATTGCCAGATAAATGTTTTACAGACATATTTATGGGGGGCAGTGGTAACTGGATCTTGTTTTCTATTTAAGGTTGCCAGTTTGGGTTCAGATTGGCCCTCCAGTACTCTGTTGTGGGCCAGAAAGCTGCTAAATGTTGTGACGCTTCCATGCTGTTACCTTAGAGATCAGAGGCTCTTCAAAGAAAAGCAATGTTCTGTCTGCTGTGGCTTGGCATCAGAGAAGGATTCCTATCACTAGAAACCTTGGAAATCTGGCAAAAATCTGAATTCTGCTGCCCTCCCTATTGACAACAACCCAGCCCAAGCAGGGACATGCTTTTTTCTCGCCCTGGAATCCCTTCCTCCCTTCCTCCATCAAAGCCTCTCACAAAGACCCTATCATGTAAGAGTTCTAAGAACTTGTCTAGTCTAACTCTCTCACTTTGCATTTGGGAAACCAAGTCTCAGAGACTTCCCCAAGAATAGTGACAAGCACTGATCACACTTGTCTTTTCTCCGTGGACTCTAAGCAAACTGGGATAGGGACCTACTTCACCTTTCTTTGTTTTTGTCCCAATGTTTAGGCTAGTGTCTGACACATAAGTAGATGCTTGACAAATGTTTATCAAACCGAATTGAGCATGCTGCTCGGAGGAAGATAAAATTTTAGCATGTTAGGACTGCAAGGTTATCAAACCTAATCGTCTGTATTTTATTGACTAGGAAACTGAGACTGAGACAGGAAAACCACGTTGCCCAGAGTCATGGTTACTGATAGGTTCTAAAGGCATTCGTTCATTTATTCAATGAGTGTTTTGAGCATCTGCTATGTTCGTAACACTGTTCTGGATTCTGGGGCTACAGCAGTGGACAAAGTAGATAAAATACCTGCTCTTAAGGAGCTTAATTTCACCCTAAACAAGTATTTATGAATATAATCTGCCTTCAAAATCCCCTAAATGCCTAATACAGAGACGAGCACTTAGAGTATACTCCAAAAAACTGCAGAACTACTTGCAAGTAAGAAATGTCCAGTGCTAAGTTACCTGGTTGCTCTTTATGGGTCCCACTGATGCTGAAAGGGGGTTGCCTCAGATACAGACCCTCCTCGGCTGGACCAAGAAGCGCATGTTGTCTCTGAAAGGACTATTTTTGAGACTTGGGAAAGCTCAGTGTCCTTTGTCTGCAAGGCGGCTGGGCGGGAGCCTCACTGTCATACCGTTTATGTTATTCCCACTGTGATTCACTTATCATGACTCACCTTCTGTTTCTGTTCTTCCTTCAGAGCATCAGTGTGGGCAGAGGAACCAGGAAGAAAGTAAGTACTGAGATTACCATGGTCTCTCAAGAAATTGCTACAAGCCTTTTTTCTTTCTGTTAAAAATATTACCTATATATTTTTTAGAAAATTCAAACAAGTAAAAAGAAGAACGTTAAATTCACCCTTAAACCCAGGGATAACCTCTTAACATTTGATGTTATATCCTCCTAGATATTTTTATGCATATATTAAAAGTATATGTATTTGTTTTTAAATGGAATAAAATTGTATGTATTATTTTATAACCTGCTTTTCACACAGTATAGTTATAGTACCTTCCATTGACAATAAATATACTTTTATAGCATCATTTGAAATTACTGCATCATATTTTATCATATATTCCTCAAAACCATGTCTTAATTTGTTCAACCATGCCCTATTGTTAGATATTTAGATATTTCCTCTTTGTCACTAACTATAATAAATGCTCCAACAAATACCCATGTGTCTAAATCTTTGGGCATATCATTGGTTATTTTCTTAATTAAAAACTCCTATAAATAGAAATTTGAGTCAGAGTATAAACACTTATTAAGCTTTTTATAAATATTTCCAAATTGCTCTTTAACAAGGCTGTGCTAATTTATGGGTACATATTTTTCCCTCGGCATTTCTCAAGCTGAAGGAAGTGAAGAAAAAATTCAAGCCTCAAGTTGCAATTTTGAAGGATTCTATGGGCAAAATATTGAACTATGCAGGAAGCATCAAAAGAAGATGAAAGGAATACACAGAGTCACTGTGCCAGGTCGACGTTCATCCATTTCAGGAGGTAGTGTATGATCAGCAACCAATGGTACTGAAGGAAGAAGTCCAAGCTGCACTGAAGGCATTGGTGATAAACAAGGCTCCAGGAATTGATGGAATACCAGTTGAGATATTTCAACAAGTGGATGCAGTGCTTCAGGTTCTCACTCATCTATGCCAAGAAATTTTGAAGACAGCTACCTGGCTAACCAACTGGAAGAGATCCACATTAGTGCCCATTCCAAAGAAAGGAGATCCAACAGAATGTGGAAATAATCGAACAATATCATTAATATCACATGCAAGCAAAATTTTGCTGAAGGTAATTCAAAAGCGGTTGCAGCGTTCCATTGACAGGGAACTGCAAGAAATTCAACCTGGATTCAGAAGAGGCCTGGAACGAGGGATATTATTGCTGATGTCAGATGGACTTTGGCTGAAAGCAGAGAATACCAGAAAGATGTTTACCT